GAGTAAATAAATATCTAGTACTGTCTACTACATACAGAAATGTTCGCGCCTGTCACCAGTAGTTTAAAAACTGACAAATTTTGTTCACTACTTAACATATTTCTACGCCACTGAACTTTATTGAAAGAGCTATTGGATTTTTGAATAAGGTATTCAATATTGCATAAATCGCCTTCTTGAGAAGCTTTTGTCGGTCGACTCATTTTGGAGAATAATTACTCTGAATACTTGAGGTAAGATCAGTATAAAAAACTTGAATCGCTCTGTGAAACATTGGATACATATTAAAACATCCTGTGTATAGAAAACAAAAATTCTTAAAGGTATGGTAAAAGACCCCCATACGGCTATACTGAACCATTTATTAACATATTATACCAGAAAATAGCCAACCTAATACTGTATTGCCGGGTCCAAAAAATTATCCGAGATGAAATGAGATACCGTTGCCTCATCTATGAGAATATCTCACAGCTATGTTGCTTTCTCTGCACTAATTAGAAATCTACTTTGAAAATGTGAATGTCTCTTACAAGACGCTGTAGCTAAATATGTGATATATGTCAATATACCATAAGTAGTTGGCTACAGCGCAGTCAATGAGACACTAGACTTTTCAAAGTAAATTTCTAATTAGAGCGGGAGGAGAAATACAGCTAGGACAAATTCCCATAGATGACCCTACAACATATATTTCATCTCAAATAACTTGGGAATATAGTATTAGGTTGGCTATCTTCAGACATAATTCGATAATCAATCTCTAAACCTGAAGGTTGTTACTCCAAATAACCCCTGAAAGACACTGTATAATTGGATGATTTTCTAACAGCAAAGTAGCCAATTTACTAGGGTTCGACATTGTGCGTATATAAAACAGATTCCTTCTTTAGATTCTCCGCTCCTATGCCATACTGCTAAATTTTTGCATTACGATAGTTTACCTTTAGCTGAAGAATGTGTTACCATTTATCATCGACAAAATGAATCATTTAAAGACATCCTTACTATAATGCTGTTACTATCGATTCCTACATACATTCTATTTCATCTGTAAATTTGTATTTCTGTAAGTCACACAGATATGAGGACTAGTCTATTTTCAGAATGGCGGGAACAGTATATCGGATCCAGATGGTTGATAAAACCCAGCTCACATTCGGCGAGACACTATTTTCAAAGCTCTTTCACATACAATACAGTGAAATTAATGAATTGATTTGACTCAAACTTTATAAGAAAAACCTATCAAAACTGTTTATCATATGCTTAGTTATTTTTTCTCCTGTTTCAATTATAACGGGTGGGCCATCTATCGGTTTCGATTTGAACCACGTGTTAATTTGACGCTGACAATACTTATGTCAATCTGATTTGTCATAAAATTCAGTATATTATCTCCGCTGAACGAAATGAATCGATTTACGCTTGAGCAACGTTGGGTAATATTGGAAATTTATTTCCAAAACAAAGACAATTGGGCAGAAATTGCACGAAAATGCCGTTCAAAATTCGGTCGCAACGAAGCACCAACAGCGCCCGGTATACGCAAGTTTATTAATAAAGTGCGTGAAACTGGTTTCATTGTTGATGCTCCAACACGTCAGCGTGCTCGTACAGTGCGTACACCCGAAGGTATCGATGCTGTGGCTGCGAGTGTGCGTGAAAATCCATCAACGTCAACACGTCATCGTTCCCAAGAATTGAACATTTCCCGCACCAGTTTACGACGAATTTTGCGGAAAGATCTCGGTATGACGCCTTACAAAGTTCAATTGGTTCAAGAGTTGAAGCCGCGTGACCATCCACTTCGTTCTGCCTTCGCTACATGGGCCAACGAGCAACTAATCAATGATGTCGATTTTGCGAAAAAAATAATCTTTTCAGACGAAGCTCATTTTCATATTGGTGGCTACGTCAATAAGCAAAATTGCCGTATCTGGGGCTCGGAAAACCCACACGAGGTCTTAGAGAAGCCAATGCATCCCTTGCGAGTGACTGTTTGGTGTGGATTGTGGAGCGGAGGCATCATTGGCCCATATTTCTTTGAAGACGGGGACGGCGCAACCGTTTCTGTCAATGGAAACACCTATCGCACCATGATAACTGATTTTTTTGTTCCTGCTCTTGATGGTATTGATGTGGAGAATGTTTGGTTTCAGCAGGATGGTGCAACTTGTCACACATCGCATGCCACAATCAACTTATTGCGCGAAACCTTCGATGGCCGTTTAATCAGTCGAAATGGTGATGTCAATTGGCCGCCAAGAAGCTGCGATTTGACACCATTGGACTATTTCCTGTGGGGCGCTGTTAAAGACAAGTGTTATGTCGACCATCCAGAGACAATTGACCATTTGAAGGCCAACATTCGTGATGCCATTGACGAGATACGGCCCCAAACACTCGAAAAAGTGCTCGAAAATTGGTCCGATCGAATGGGCTACTGTGAGGCCAGCCGCGGCAGCCATTTGAATGAAGTAATATTTCATTTCTGAGCGGAACAATTGTACTTCAAAACAAAAAAATAAATTTGGCAATATCTCAAACCGTTTTTGTTTTATTTTATTTTTAAATCGAAACTTTTAAATGGCCCACCCAATATATATGATTTCTGACTTTTTCTGTCGGAGTGGTACTTAGCCTGTCTAGGCCCTCAGCTTTTACATGACATTTCGTCTTTTATATAATTATTTTTAGTTTAGGAAGTAATTAGTTATACATGGTTAAATATGAATGGCCACTAGCAGAATTCACCACTTGTAACTGTGCTGTATGTATGTACTTGTTACAATAAAGTCTATTGAATTGAATCGAATTATTATTATTACACAATACACACTGAGAACCAAATTTGTCTGACGGCTTTAGTTCCATGTGTACGAAAGAGAAGCGCGAGAGGTGTAGTCTCAACACATGTTAGAAGCCAACCGACAGGCTTCGTTCTCCCTGTATAACGTTTTAAGAATATGCATTTAGATCTAGACCGTCCATATCTATCTGATGGAGAAAACACTTGTTTTCCCTGAAGACTACCATTGAGGAGCAACTTTTCAAAACGCATTTTGTCCATTTTGGACAAAATTGAGATAGAAGCGGTTTCTGAAATCATTTGTTGTGTTCTACATTCCTAGATAAATAAAACATATCAAGGCGCATTATGTCCCTGTGTAATTGGCATGCAAAGTATAAGGTTCACATCAAAATGCATTTTGTCCACGGATCTGGTTTGATCAAAACGCATTATGTCATTTCACCGCTAGAAGGCGACAATATCGACCAAAAACAGCTGAAACTTGTCAGTTTTGTTCATTATAACCTGCATTTCAGTTCTGCCTATGCAGTGCAACAGCGATACACGTTTACTTAAATAAAAATAATTTACATTAAATATTTAAAAATTACTGTATTTTAAGGTGTTAAGTTTATTACAATGGAAAGCCTCGATACCAGTGTTATGGTGGGCAGCTATAATGAGGGATCAAGAAAAAAGCTACGACGAAAAACAAAAAGGGAAGCAGAATATGAAAAGAGGTAGGCACTGCTTGTTTGTTACAAGAAAAATGGTAGTACATGTTTCGTTCTTTTATAGATATCAAGACGCCGACCCCTTGTTGCTCAATTTTCGGCCAACCTGTATCCACCGAGAAGGCCAGTTTAATTGCAACAGTATTTCTAGAAGCATCCTAGCAAACGCAAAAAGAAAAGTTTTCATTAAGCCGGACAGAAAAGAGCAAGATAGAAGATTATCCTTTTTAATGGATGTAACGCATCCAAAACGCAGCCGTGTTCGTGGTGATGTGAGAAAAAACAAGCGACATCGCGTTGCAGTTAAATATTTCTTGATGTCGACAGAAAAACAAAGAATACCTGTATGCTCAAAATTTTTTGCGAAGTTATTTGGGGTTGGTCAACGAAGATTGAATACAATTGCTGACGGAATGTTATCTGGTGTCGGAATAGTGGATAAACGAGGAGGAGATCACAAACTTCAGAGGTTTTCAGCAAAAAGGAAGAAAGTGTACGAGTTTATTTCAAAACTAAGAGCTTCCGAAAGTCATTACGCAAGAAATAAAAGCCACCGACTTTACTTGCATTCATATTTGAACATAAATCGACTCTTTCATCATTATAACTCTACCGTTGAAGAAGAGCTGAAGGTGAAAAAGACATTTTTCGTGAAAATTTTCGAGACAAAGTTTAATCTAGAGTTTGGGTCCCCTGCTTCCGATACATGTAGTTATTGCGCTAGACTTAAAAGTGAACTTCAATCTTGTGAAAATGGTGTTACCAAAGAACGTTTAGTTGCAGACATTGTAATCCACAAAAAGAGAGCTAAAGCCTTCCATAGTTTGATGAAAGCAACCCCAGAAGCAAGTGTGTGTGCGTATGTGTTTGACTTGCAACAAGTGCAACCGATTCCCAAAGTCAGTATTGGTGAAGCTTTCTATGCAAGGCAAATTTCATTTTATGCTTTTTGCGTAACTGATGTTGCAACTAAAAATCCACATTTTTATATCTGGAATGAAACACAAGCTGCAAGAGGTGCTCAAGAAATTTCTTCAGCTTTAATGGACTTTTTAGATAAATTGCGGATTGATGACTCCATAACCCAAATAAGGCTTTTCGCGGATGGCTGCGCAGGCCAGAACAAAAATCAGCACGGGATCCATGCCCTAACATTCTGGCTACAGAAAAACTCTCCAAACAATATAAAACAGATAGTAATGTATTTCCCAGCTCGCGGGCACTCATACCTACCTGCTGACAGGGTATTTGGCCGATTTGAAAAACATCTACGAAAAACTGAAGAGGTGTTGGACCCCACAGCTTATATTAAAATTCACAAAGAATACGGGACTATCAGAGTACTAGGCGAAGATTGGTTTATCAAAAATTACAAAGACTTAAAAGAGATACTAAAACCAATCGATGGAATAAGTGACATGAAGAGGATCTTTATACAAAAATTTTTAAAAAAAGGCTACGTTGATGTTAAAATGAAACTTGCGCCCACCTACATATTCGACGACACTTCGAAACAGCTAATGTCGATAACAAAACGGGGTCATGCTTTCTCAAGGGATATGCAGAATCGCTGCAACCTACCATTGGTAAATAAAGTCAAGGAAGATAAAAGAACTGATGTGCGGAAGCTGCTTTGTGCAAGATTTGGCCAAGAGTGGGAAGATGACATCCCGCTATCGTCGTTTTTGTTTTTTCATCATGCCTTAAAGCCCATGACAGAACCAGACGCTGAAAGTGCAAATCCAGACACTGAAATTACAGATCCCGCCAAAGATGTAACTGAACAAACGTCCATGTGCGACTGCCTCGAAGAAGATCCTACCGAGGAACAAATTTGACTTTTTTTACGTGTGCTTGATATAAGTATTATTAACATCACTATTCATGCTTGTATGTTTCGAATAAATTAAATAAAAACAAAATAATATGTTCCCAAACCAATAAATTGCAACAAATAGCATTATGTCCAATTTTAACCGCAACAAAACGAATTTTATACATTGTGACGAAACAAAGCACATTAAGTCCAAACATTTTTCAGATTTCCTCACTTTTTCTGATAAATTTTGATTTAAATGAGGTAACTTATTACGTCTATCTATTAGTTTCTGTCAAAAAAACTCACTGTCTTAAAATTATATGACAAGATTTAACAGAAAATCGTTTTTCGTTAATACTGAATAAAATATTTTTTGGACAAAATACGTTTTGAAAAGTTGCTCCTCCATTGTTTATTATGCTATCAAAATATCATCGATCTTCCAGGCAGAGCTATATGCTATAGAACTGGGTGCCAGAATGATCGCAGAACGACAACTAAGTCACCGAACTATAATTATTTTTTCAGATAGTCAACTCGCACTTAAAGCACTTGACCCCACCTACTCGACATCGAAATTAGTGTGAAATTGTAAAGGAGCTCTCGGTGACATAGGGGAGAGAAATTATGTCCGTCTCATATGGATACCAGTACACACAGGTCTAGTGGGAAACGAGACAGCTGACACTCTGGCAAAGAGTGGGGCTAGCACACCCTTCATGGGGCCTGAGCCAGCGATTGAGATCGCATACAATACGGCTAAGTAAATAACCTCTGCAGAGGTGGACAGAAAGATACATCAATACTGGGAGGGACTAGCAGGGTTAACCCATGCTAAGGCAACTATACCAATCTTGACAAATGAGGTAACAGACTCTTTGCCACGGCTGAACAGGAATAGCCTCAAAGCTCTACTAGATCTGCACACTGGTCATTGCAAATTGCGTCACTACATGAGCAGGCTGGGCATGCCGGAAGACGCTGAGTGCAGACTGTGCATGAAGGGAGATGAAACGGTCAGGCATGTATTGTGCAGATGCCCTGCAATTGCCGGAATCAGGTACAACATACATGGAGTCGCAGTACTCCAAGCAGAAAACCTGGAGGATATTTCTCCAAACAAGTTGATCGACTTCCTCAGGAGGTCGGAGCTGCGGAGGAGGTTGATGCACTCACAAGAAACCTAACCTAACCTAACCTTGGTACCGATCAGATACCTTTCAGGTAAGATATTTCATGGAACAGAGTTCGCGCTACAGTTATCTCTGAAACGATTTGGCAAAAAGCTACCTAATTTAGAATTTAATCGCACGAGCACTAGTTGGACTGTTGATTTTGATTATAAGACCGAAAATACCACCCTACAGATTATCCGCACTATCGCAGTTTCACATCCCTATTGGAATTCAGCGACCAGTTAGTTTCAACAAATTATTTCAATTTATGTACGCGTGTGCGCTTCTCTGAATGGTCAAAATTACATTTGAACTCGAAAATGTCGGAATAAACCCGGCAGAATTTTACTAAAGCGAAACTCATTTACATCGCACGTTCATTTGGGGGCTGTGTGTACGTCGGTGTGTGTGTGTGCTTTACTTTATGCATGCAAAATTCAGCTAATGACTCTGCGGGCTGCAAAGCCATCCGTGGAAAAAACGTTAATTTGCCTTCTTACCCTCGGTGGCTGACTGATGGATGTTTGGTAGCCGCTTACCTGCAAAAAAGAAGAACATGGAAGTCAAATAGAATGATATACAATAATAATGACGTTGATAGCGGATATAACAACCTTGACGAAGAGCACAGTCTGCGAAAATCAAAAGTTCGTCTCTTGTTAGTGAATCAAGCAACGTTAAAATAGTCTTCAAGGCTTGAACTAGAAAATCTTCATCTCAGTTTTCAAGTATTGAAAATGCGATAATAATGATAAACTGTTGCTTTGCAGCATGGAATACCCAAATTCAAATCTCGATATCGGAAAGGGCTACCGAGCTGAGGTATTCGGGAGATTCTTAACCAACTCTTTGAGAACACTTACAGGGTTCGACCGGTATATTTCTTTTATTTATCCCCACTTATACAGGGTGAGCAAACAAAGTCATGTTTTTTGTCAAAGTTTGTGGCTATGTCAGATTCTCAATTTTTTATCTTGAAAATCTTTCTATGCACCTTTTTGATCTTTAGACTATCCTAAAAAAGTTATATAACAAAATTTTCGAGAACCTAACCTATTGTAGAAGCCTGTGCGAATATTTTCTGGTGTAACATATTGGCAACGCTTAGATTGCACGATCTTCTGCATCACCTTTGCTAGGCAAGTGGTGATGACCTTCGCTCTTCAGCCTGCTTCTATCTCTTTCTAGCATGTGTTGATACACACTTCTCACACATTTCTCTCGTACACATTGAACTCAACCGGTGAGGCAAATTTGGTTTTCTCTGTACTTCTGGAGATGGCGCAACATGATCACCAATTTCTGCGAAACACTTGGTACAACTGTAAAAGAGGTGAACTTTCATAGGACCGTCAGTGTAGCCAAAGATTAGAAAATCCCCCAAAAAGTCGTTAACACATCAAGAATCTCCAATTTGGCGATAAATCGCCAAACTTGGCAACCTTGACCACGCATATAACATCACTGGGTCGGTATGGCTAGTCTTACCAAGCCTATCGATTCTTTAGTAGATCTGCCGATTTTAGACATATTTTACCGAACTACCGATTTTAATACAAAATCTACCGAAATTTTTTTCAAACAGCATTTCTGATAGAAATCAATGAAACACAAGAATAGATCACTTTGCCACCCTTTCCCCTCGTTCCTCAATTTATGATTTTGTGCAACTCTGCGCTCTTTAAGTTTTCAAACAGCAGCATTTCATGTCCCCCGCTATTTTTAATTTTCGATTACAGGGATTTGTTGAAATCCTGCCCTCTTAAATTTATTTAATAGCTGCATTTCAGTACTTGATGGTACTACCCGCTCTTCAATTTCCAAAACCGAGTGGACCTCAAGCAATTTTCGATCCCAGCAAGCTTTTGCTTTTTGGTTTATTTCCTACCGAAATCTACCAAAAAATTTCCTACATATCTACCGAAAAAAGATTGGTATGGCTTCGGTTGTGTCTCGTGTCGCTGTCGCAGTGCTGACCGGTACCTTTACCCAAAACATCACCGAGTCATCGAATAACTCCTGACTCACTTTTAGCACCTCCGTAATTTCACTCTAGTATCAAACATCCTTGAGTTACATGAAAGTCATGGACAATAAAACTTGAAAGGCAAAATCGATCCTGACAGGCTAGAGTTGCGCTTACCTTCAGCGCCGTGATTCTAAGGCTTCTCGTAATTTTGACTTCGGGGCTTCCCACATTTCACCCGTGCGGGCGGTTCTCGACGTTCATTGTATTTCTGTGCCATTGTTTGCAGTCATACTAGCAAATTTCCGCTTCTGCTCGGACTTTTTTGAATTGATATTTATGTATAAGCGCAATGTTCACTGGCGGTTTACTGTATATATGTGTGACATGTTTTCCAGAAAGGACATAATATGTACAACGTAACTTTTTTTATAGAAAAACTTGGATGTTTCGAATACTCGAGAATGCTCAAACGAAAGAACCAAAATCTCTCACAATCCAAATATAGTTGCTTGCTTTTTTATTTTAGCTGGTTAGTAGAACTTGTTTTCTCATTCCTAGGTGATAACTTTTTTGATTACTATTGTTTCAATCAAGAGTAGAATATAATAATTGCAAAAGTGTTGTTTAGCAATTAATTATCCATACATATTGTAGGCAAAGTCCGACGGTGCAGTCAAATATAGTAGTGACTGATGAAATTCGAAGATTGTGTCGCATTTATGATAGGAAAATGTTTCTTTTAACGCTTATAGCACTAAGGCTCCTCGGCTTTATCAAAAAGAACCATTAAAGCCTCATTATAGCTATACCGGACTTTTATTACATGATGTTCTAAAATAGCATAGCTTTCAACCAAACATTGATACTTTAGCAATGATACTTTCTAAGCTGATAAAACCCTATCTTAATTTAATTTTGCACAAATGTTTCTAGTTAGACAAGACATGAGTGATCATAAATTTGTCCATTGACCCCAAGTGATCGTCAGTCCTAAGGCAAAAACATTGTTGCTGAAATGGAATTTTTATCTAAATTTTAGCTATTTTGATAACATTGTAAATCTGTCATTATTGTTGATATAACGTAGCGTTTAGATTACGAAATATTGTCAGTTGATATACTTTGTTATTGATTAACGAATTTTCTAAGATGTCCAGCCAAAAGCTATATTTGGACTTTTACTTTATTACAATTTCCATCTTTACGATGTTGCCAAGAGCATCGCAGTAATTACTGAAGAAGTAATAGACGCAGAATGCATTTTCTTTTTAAAGATAATTGTTTATTCTTACCATTATATCAACTTTCTAAGCAAAGATCCCCTTTCAACTCTTAACTATTTCTAAGATTTAGTCTCCGAATTGACATTTAGTTACTTCGATGCATTCCGCGTCAGGCAAACCTGAAACAACGATCAATGGATTAAGGAGAGGTTTTCTAGGTCACCAGCACGTTTGGCCAAATATGCAATTTGAGGTTAGAAGAAATTTGACTTGCAAGCATTAAGGTATCATTTTGTAACTAGGGGATGACATACTGGTTTTGAGAAAAACTTCTGTTTTCAGAAAGTTATAAATCATACTTTTTGCGGGTATTTCCGCTGTACGAGAACAGAAGCTAAGCTTAAAATCTGTACGGCACCCCATAACTTTCAACTTTTTGGGCGCTACGTGCACATAACACCTACTTTATAAGAGAATCTGTGATGCTAAGGCTTGCCACCAAGTTTGTAGAGCCATCCCTGAGAACTTTATAGAACCCTTTAAAAATAGCGCCATCTTTAAACTTCCCTCTTACACTATGGAGCCAAATTTGAATTAAATATTAAATTGTATACAAGATATTTAGAGTAAAATAAGGCTCAACCTGATTTTA